GGCCTAAGAGGGTGCTTTGCTTAAAACAAGCAGTTTTTTTAAGTCATAGTCCAATCCTAACCTTTCTAAAGGAAGGTGCAGTTGGCTTATGACAAATTTTGTGATTTTTGTTAATTTCTATAAGCTGTTAGGCATTTTATGCCTTTTTTTACTAATAGGTTTATATGTATTGTTTATTTTGATTTAAGCTTGACTTATGTCAATGTAAGACCTTAATCTACAAGATAATACATTCCCTAATCTTGTAGATGCATACCGCTCTTGCTTAATAATAATATTTATTTTAGTTCAAATAATAGATTTAACTTGTTCGCATCCCGTCATCTCTACCTAAAATCTCCAACAGTCCAGGAGAAATAATCATAACCTCACAAAAATGCATTATGTGAATACACACATAAATTATACTTACAAGGTTGCTAATAGCAGTCACTTTGTCACCATGTTGCAATTTAGAAGAGTCACCATGACTTAAGGGCCTTAGATTTTTTTTAGGTACATGCAAAACAGCGATATCCTTGTCCTCATCAAATCGAACAAGTAAAGCTTTACATTTAGACTTGTCATGAAAAGTGACCCTGGATTAACAGTAAAATTTCATTAGCAAGCCAATACCAAAGCCCTAAGACCAGTTACAATGGGAAGCCACTCATTTCAGTTTCTCTTTATGCCATATCATCACAGTTTATATTATTTTATTTTACCCAACAACAAAGACTCTAGGACTCTCATCTAATGCGTAGAACGAAAAAGGCTTCTCAAAAGTTACACCAACCAAAAAAAGTATCAATCTTACTTATCTAAAACTATATTATTTAAATTTTAAAAATAAAAAAAAAATTAAAAATTAAAAATTCGTAGAACGAAAAAGGCTTCTCAAAAGTTACACCAACCAAAAAAAGTATCAATCTTACTTATCTAAAACTATAATATTTAAATTTAAAAAATTAAAAAAATTAAAAATTAAAAATTAAAAAAACTAACAGGGTATCTTAAAAATTAGAGCCCCCATGATAGTGAGAGTCATTCATACCATGTTTCC